TCTCTCTCTCTCTCTCTCTCTCTCTCTCTCTCTCTATATATATATATATATATATATATATATATATTTCTTTTCCACTGCATAAAAAAGACCTTTTCTGCACAGTAGACTAACACTAACACTAAGTGCTGTAAGAAACAGAAATTCTTTATTCATAGTCACATGGATTTGCCTGGAGACCTTTCAGTTCCTGGGTTCCTCGCAATGACCTTGCACAGAGGGAGAAATACTGGCTGACACTAGTTGACCTTAGAGAAGCAGAGAGCAGAATGATTACCAAGGTTTGGGCAGTGGAGGCATTTGAAGAGTTGATTAGAAGATGCAAAATTTCAGTGAGGTAGAAAATTAAAAAGATCAGTTGCACACCATATTGTCTGTAATTAATAATGTACATTATATTCTTAAAAATCCTTAAGACAAATTTTACCAGCACTCACTGTAAAGTAGGATGAGAGGCCATGTGTGTGTTCATTTCCTCGATGTAGCCATTCTACAGTATTTGCATATTTTAAAAAATTGCACTGTAAATGTAAGTAGGGATAATTTTTATGAATTGAAAATAAATTGATTTAAAAGGTATCATCACCGATGTCTGTTTAGCATGGCAAGAGTGATTTTAAAGTGAGACTACTGTGTGAAATAATGTAGCCTCATACCAGACACACAGTGGGTCAGTGGTGGTGAATCCCGGAAGCCTGCTGCCGCCAGCTGGCAATGATCCCTGGAGGCTCTAAAGCATTCACCATCACTACCTAGGTCCTCAGGGAAAGACGCCTGCCCTGGAGGCTGTTACTCCATTCATTTCTATCTTCTATGTAGCTTCTTGTTTTTGCTTTAGATATAACATGGGACCTGTTATTTGCTCAATCACCTGGCACACTTTCGGTTATGAAAAGAGGGTTTGATTTCATTCAAGACTTTGTCCTTGTATCGGTTCTTGCTGGTTAGAGGAGCTTCTAGTGCTGTTTTCTAATTACATGGGGCTACTTCCTGGCTCAAGGGAAGGCGTGGTCTAATGAACCAGATGTGACATCATCAGCCAGCTGCTCATAGCTCAACTTTTTTTTGTCTTTTTGAGACAGGGTCTCGCTATGTAGTTGAGGCTGGCTTTGAACTCACTTTGTAGCCCAGGCTGGTCTCAAACTCGCAACAATGCTCCTGCCTCAGCCTCCCAAGTGCTGAGATTACAGGTGTGAGCCACCATGCCCCGCAGTAGCTCAACTTTTAATGTATGAGAATACAATACTCTGTTCTCTAAAGCTAATTCTTCTCTAGTATCTGCTCTCTGTAACACTATGTTCAGTATTTTCCTTGAATTTGTGAGGGTTAAAGTATGAAAAAGAGAATGAATTTTTCTGGACTAGCTTACTTAGGGCATTTTAATAATAAAAATGATAATAGTAGTGCAAGCAAAGGACGTAAGAAAATAGAAGAAGTTGTATCAAATGTTTCTGAAATGCAAAGGTGTACTTTTCTTACAGTTAACTGTACTACTTACACACCTACAAAGTAAAACGGTAGTTTATGACATTTTACTTTTGCAGCATTGTACAGTGATAGCAGTAGCCAGAATAAGCACTTTATCAGAATACTGTTTTGCTTTAAATATCAAATCCTATCTGGCTTGTTAATGTGACCATAGTGCTTTATATTTTCACTTTTTAACAGTTTCTACAACAAAGCACATGTTTATATTGTGCCCTTTGTAGTCTATCTGAGGAATCATGAAATGTGAAAAAAACTTTCTTATACATGGTATTCTGTTGTTCACAGAACTTATCTTGAGATCTTATTCTTTTCAATCAGGTACAGCAAGCCTGTTTTCAAATAACTTTACTATAATGAAATATGTTTCATTATCTTCTTATGTACAATTTTTTTATTTTTTGAGAGTTAGGAAATACATGTAATGCAAATATTTGTACATGCCATACTTTTGTTATATATTATACCTTAATAGCAGCATAATGATTGAAATAAACCTTAAAACAAAATGAATAACTCATTCAACCCAAAACTCCAAATATTCCTAGTATTCTTAATTGTAATTATTGCTTTCTTTTTTATCTTTTAAAGGAGTAATCACAGAAATTGCATTTCTATGTGACTCAGTATTTTAAAACATTCAGTCCTGATTTGAAATAGTATTTTGTCACAAAAGAAAGATTTAGCTCAGCAGTACAAGCGCCTGCCTGGCAGTGTAAGGTCATAAGTTTGATACCCGGTACCAAAAAAAAAGAATTAGAATTCTCTTGTTAGAACTCATTTATAAATGCACCGATATACTCACCCACTTAGCTGTTATCAGGGCAGTTGTAAATGCTCTGAATGGTAGCCCTCTTTCAGGGTTTTGGGTAGTAAAAACAGAGCATGTTATTTCTCTCCATTAAAATAACAGTTTGTTTGGTGTACTATGTTTAAACCAGCTGGGACACCACATTGGACCACCCAGGGAGAGCTGAGTGAGGGGTTAGTGAGCCTTGGCTGGATAATGCCTGCCACCTAAACAAATATCATTCACTGCCCATTCTGTTATTTAGTGCTTGATCTCAGTAAGTGACTACTTAGAAATTAATCTTTTCAAGTGGTCGAGTTACTGAAGTAGTATATTAAAATCTAAAAACAGTGGAAAGAAACTTCTTTAATACAAATTGAAAATCTAAATAATAATTGAGTCCTCTTAACAGTGACTAGATTATATTTTAAAAACTTCTAGTATGGTGTCATAATCATTTTAAACATTGCGCAAATAACTTCTTGTAAAATGTAATTATTCCTCATACACTATTTTATTTTCATTGCTGTCTCTATGGTTTACTATTACAGTGGAGTCTTTGAAAGTCTAAAAAGCAGTGTTTTTGATTTTATTGTGTATCCTTGAATTATGCCCACTTGCAGCAGTCTATCATAGCGAAGTCAGTCCATTACTTTTCCGGGTAAGCTCCTTGGTGCTAAAAGCTTCTTAAGCATGGTGGGGTAGGTCAGGATTTGAATGGCAGTGTAACTGTGTGGTCTGATGATATATTGTCTGAGTAGCCGGGGTCACTTGGAGTACAGACTGTTTCCCAAGCAATTTAACTGACTGCTCAATTAAGGAGAAAAGACTATCCAAGGCAAGGTACCGCATTCAGTGGTCACAGAAAGTGTAGGTGCAGTATAGACGGCCCTGTGTAAATATTAACTACTCATTGTGAGTATTGAGCACTTACTGAAGGCTCAGCATGAGCACTACACACACACACACACACACACACACACACACACACACACACACACCCCGGTACCTGCATCCCCCCTATACCAAACATCTTTGCCTTGGTGGAGGCTGAACAATGAATGAAGCTGTTGGACTTACATGCTCTGACGTTGATTTATTGTGACTGGAATTGTTATTTCCACAATAAAGATACCACTAATCATCCAGGATAGCACAGAATGTTTAACGATTCAGAATATAGATCTTAGTTGATTCAGAGCTTGTGGTTTTGAAAATAGTTTTAAAATAAGATTTATTTACAATGAAAACAAACACCATTATGTAAACATAAGCATAGCGCACTTTGTGACTCTTTGCATGTGGTCCTCAGAGCAGAGCGGTGGGGTTAGAGGAAATGAGTTGGTATAGATGGCAGTGGATCGCTTTACAACTCCAATGTCCGCCTGAGTTGGACTGAATGTCTCAGCCAGTGCCTAAGGTACAGTGTAAGTGCAGACACGGTTACCCTTCAGAGTTGCTGGCATCGCCAGCAGGTGTGGCACAGGCTGTCTGCAGGAGGCCTGGCAAGGTGGTTTTGCCTCTAGTGAGAGCAGACATTGCTGTTTCCTGTGCTGATCACCAAATGAAAACTGTTAGCTGCACCCTGAGTGCTGTGGTGTATCAGGATGAATTAGCGTTATGCAGCTCCACAAGGACTGATGTAAAAAGTAGTCAAAGTGATAAATGCTGGCAAGGGTGTGGAGAAACTAACCCACTTGTGTTGGTGGAAATGTAGATTGTCACAACCCTTTTGGAAAACAGTGTGGCATGTTCTTACACTTAACTTGCACCTAGCAGTGGTACAAGGGTTTTTATCCCAAACAGATGAAAACTGTATTAACAAAAACTACAGTGTTGTGATCACAGCAGCTCATTCTTTTTATTTTTTTTTTTTTTTTTAAATTTTGGGAAAGGGTTGGGCTTCCTAAGTTGCCCAGGTAGGACTCAAACTTGAAATCTTTCTGCCTCAGGCTCAGGAGCCGGGACCTCAGGGTGTGCCACCATGCTTGGTGGCAGCCTCATTCTTGATACTGAAAACCTGGAAACAACTCAGATGTTCTTTAGTAGGTGAATGGGTGACAACCGGTGCATTTATGGAATGGGACTCAAAAATAAAAATGAACCCATTACTGATCATAAAACAACTTGTATGAAAGCCAGGTATGGTGCTGCATGTCTGTAATCCTAGCACTTAGGAGGCTGAGGCATGCAGCCTGGGCTACATAGTGAGACCTTGTCTCAAGAAAAACCAAACCAAACCAGCTTGTATGAATCTCAAGGAAATTTCACTCACTGAAGAAAAAAAAAAAAAGCCAATTCTGGAAGACTGCATGTACTGTAATTTCTTTATATGAAAATTCTCCAAATGACAGTATTATAAAGACAGCAAACATGTCAGTAGTGGGTGTGGTTAGGAATGCAGTCACAGGAGATACTCTTGTGCTGACACAGTGTGTTGCAGGCTGCAGGATGGATGTAGGAACCTACATGAGAGAAAAATACTGTTATTCTAGGAAATAGGAAATGAATGTATCTTTGGAAGCATGCTATTCTCAACCTGCCAAAGTAAGCACTCCTGAAATACTGAATTGTAGACAAGAGATACAGTTATTTTTGAATTATTTTATGTAGATGATTTGATTACATATGCAAATACCACTAGGGCTTAAAATTTACTATAAAAAGAGAATTTGTATATTATAATTTATTATGATTCCTTTTAAAATAGAGCAGGAACTTTTATTAATAAGTTGATATAGTTCTTTTTTTATTATTTTGAAGGTGGTAAAATACAACAGAACAAGACAGAACAAAGCCAATTGAGACAGTGTAGTGAAATTGGTACAGAACTTCACAGCAGGTCATCAGGATAACAGGCATCACAGTATATCTCGTTATTTTCACAATAGTAGTTCTTTCAATCACGTATAGCAAAATAAAATGAAGTACAGAACATTATAGAGCTTGTCAAAACAGAATATTGAATGGAATAGTACCATTAATCAGAATAAAGAAAAACAGTAGTAAAAATATTTGCCTTCAAAGAGATGGTAGAAGGAAATCCCCCTTATTTGCTATGTTGCATATGGTCAACCTCTCAAGAGATGCTCGTATCTCTGGTTCCCATTTGCTAAAGAGGGGCAGGGGAAGTGGGATTTTGACTCTAAGCCCGTGACTGGTGGGCTCACTATTGCTTAACAGGGAGGCAAGCTGTTACTTGGTTTCCCAGAGTCCTAAGTTCCAACATGGCGTGGATCTCAGGAGATGCTGGTAGTTCTCCCCTTGGGGTGGCTGTGTCCTACCACACCACAACTGCTTACCAGGTTGATTGCTGGTTGCTTGGTTTCATAGCATCCTAAGTTCCAACATAGCATGGATCTCAGGAGACGCTGGTGGTTCTTCCTCTGGGGCTGCTGCAGCCGAGTTGATGTAGTTCTCTTACAGTTTCACTTATAATTAAAAGATAACATTGATTGACTTTGATGCTAAGTCTAGGTCAACATTGTATTTTCTTCTCTGAGAATTATATTTCTAAGTGACCAATTTTATTTATTTATTTTTGTTTGTTGATATGTATTCTGGAATGCCTTCTTTTAAAGATTTTTACCTTTCTTCCTTCTCCTTCCCCCTTCTGCTCTTTTTACTCTTTCCTTCTCATTCTCTCTCCCTCTTCTCCTTTTTCTCACTTTTTCTTAAATATTCTGCCTTTATTGTTTTTCCTTAATGTTAGAATATACAGCTAAATGTACTGTGTGGCTTTTCATTATCCTTGGCAGACTTTGATATTCCTTTCTTATGAATGAGAGTAGTGAAAAGTAAAATGTGGTCATAGTTTATGAAAATTATTGAAGGGAGGAAACATTTGCAAAAGACATCTGATAAAGGACTATTTATTCATGTATAAAATAACCAAATTAGACAAAGACTTCCTAAAACTCCAAAGGATAAAAGAAATAACTGATTAAAAAGTGGGCTACAAACCTTGACAGACACCTCATCCAGAAAGATAGCAAATAACTATGCGGAAAGAGGCATTGGGACAGAGGTGCTGCCCATGTCCTTAGAGAAATGCAGGTTAAGAGGGTGAGCCGTGGCTCCCCTGAGTTAAGCGGCCAAAGCCAGCTCTGTTCTGGTGAGGAGTGTGCGGGCAGGAGCCTTCATTCATTACGATGGCCTACAAATGGGTGACCATTTTGCAAGACATTCTGGCAGTTTCTTACAAAATTAAACTCTTACCACAAGGTCTAGCAAACCCATTCTCTGTCTTTTATCCAGAAGAATTGAAAACGTAGAGCTATACAAAAATCTACCCTTGAACAGCGTTATTCAAAGTTGCCGAAGCTTTGGTGCAATGAAGATGCTTTTCGGAGAGCAAATGGATAAGCAAGCTGTGTTACTCCACATGGTGCACTGTCACTAAAAGGCAGGAGCTGCCACGTCAGAAGAATCGTATACTTACAGAGTGAAGACAAGCAGTTTGAAAAGTGTGCATTTTGTACAAGTGCAAGTGGGTGACTTACTGGGACAGGTGTTGGGAGTTCCCAGGGGATCAGGAGGGTGGGGTGAATCACTGGGTTACGGAGGATTTTGGGTTGGTGAAACTCTTCTGTAAAGTATCAGGGTGGGTTCATGTCAGTGTACAAACACAAGAATGTCCACCACCAAGAGTGGATCCATGGACCTTGTGGGGAACCGCAGTGCAGATTCACCCACTGTGACAAGAGCATCAGGGCAGGGAGGTTATTAACAGTGAAAACTGTCTGCATGGGACGAGATGCCTGTGGGAAGTCTCTGCGTGTGATTTCTGCTGTGAACCTAAACCGTTGTAAAAATCTACTTTTAAAAGTACTTGTGAAAATAGAAGTGGAGACATACAGAAGTTTACTCTTGAGTACAAATGTGTGTACAAAATATAAAACATGAAACAACTGAAAAGAAATGAATTTTTCAACCCCGGTGTAGTGGCACATACCTGTAAGCCCCACACTCAAAGGAGGCTGAGGCAGGAGGATCACTGCAAGGTTGAGGCCAGCCTAGATTATAAAATGAGTTCAAGGCCCACCTGAACTATCTAGGAAGACCCTGTCTTAAAACGAACACACAAAAAAGCCCCCCAAAATTTTTTTTCAAGTGATTTTTTTCACATGTTGAATCCTGGTTACTGTATAGCCTTTATTTATGTACTCTCCTCGTTTTTTTTTAAATCAAACTTTGTATCTGAGAGATACTGAGTTTCGTTGCTTTTCATGGTTGTTACTAGTAGAAAACACTATTTGTTATATTCTAAATGTTTTACGATTTTATTTGTTAGATGAAAATACATATGGTACCCTAGTTTTATTTGCCTCTGAGAATGAGACGCATACTCTGAAGAAAGCTAGTTAAATTTTAGATAGCAGATACTATCTGTACCTTAAACTCAAGGAAAACAGTGGCCAGGAGGGTCCATGTGCTAATCACGCGTGAAATGACCTTTTGCACCTTTACTCTCTAAGTGGTATAGCAAGGGTACGAATGCAAGTCCTTCCTACAATGTATGATTTTGTTTTTTAGCCTGGAACCTAACTGGTGGAAGATGTGGACATTGACTTGTTTCATTTCACACGCTAGAGACTCCCCTTACATTAACTTAGGGAAGAAGTTACAGTGTAAGGGGCTGTAAGATATGTGGACCATCGTAAGGAGCTCAGGACAGGAATGTAGGTGAGCCTTACAACTATGGACTGTTTTTCCTTTCTTTTCTGTGAATCTGTTGCCCTCCCCCCTTTTTAAGCTGAATTTTTTCTCCTCAGTTGTATTTAATGGCTCAGGCAACCAAGAAAAGCCACAGTACTTCTTTGGCGGAACTTCCTGTTGGTTCTGAATTTAGAAAGCGTTTCCCCCTTGGTTTGGTCTGCTGTCTGCCCTGGGTAAATCAGCTGGACAAATCTGCAGGTGACTGCAAGGTGCATCTCAGCCACTCTCAAGGGAATGAGTGGCGCAGAGTTCAGATGATGTTCTTCCCTCTGCCCCTCTGGTCGTTTGAGACAAGTATTTCTTGGTTTTGGGGCTGGGCCAGGATGAAGAGATATGCACAATTTAATCAAGATTGAAAAGCATTATAATAATAACATATTTGGAAAATTAATGTTTTCTTTCTTTGCTTAAATTTTAAATGAGTAAACCCATTTTGTCAGAATCGTACCTGCTGGAAATACTTTGAAGTTAGGGTTCTCAGTCATGTCAGAGGAGAACTGTGATCCATTTGATGCAGGAGTTTAGCAAGCTGTTCTTTTGTTGCTCTTCCTTCAGTCATCCTATTTCAGTAGTTGTGTATGAGCAAGCACCAAATTAATGTGCTCATCTAGGATATGAAGATGGAAATGGTTGCATATCAATTCCAAAATAAACATGCACTGGGTGAATCTTGACTTCTGTTCTCAGCAGATTTCATTCATTGTAGGGTGGCCTGTGCCACAGTGATTTAGTCTGAATCAGGAAGTAGTTCCTTAGATGAGCGTAGTTTAGATATTTCTATAATATATCAAAATATGCACCTGAAACATTGTTAGACTGTGAGAGTAGGCATGACTAAAATGTAGTTAATAGTAATTTCAGCATTCGCTACTTAAAAATATTTACATAATTTTTATGTACACACTCATTTCAGTATCAAGACAAACATTAAACACTCCTTTTTTAAAAATTTCTTTTAAAATCATTTTCAAGGTTATTTTGAGCATATTTTGTCTAAATTGATTTTGAGTTTTGCTCAGTTTTCTCTACCTTTTTACAAGTTACATGAACTGAATCCTCTTGTCATTACATATTTGCTTGCTATGTAATTATTACTGTGAAGTGCCTTCTGGAAACTGGTAGCTTAAAAATAACAGTAAAAAATAAATTACTGTAATTGATCTGGTCATGAAATGTTTAATGAAAAAGGACTGTTAATTGTTTTATTTTGAAATGTGTAGATGGGCAAACCAACAGAATATATTTTATATCAAATCAACTCTTCATGTTTTAGTTATTTACAGATACTGTATATCCTTCAGACAATGCAGTGTGCCTTTTTATCCTTTGAATAAGTAACATAGTTGAAAAAGTTAAGACATTGCTCAAAGCTGTTCCTTGCCACCACTAGCCTGTTCCCTGTGGGATTTCCCAGGTGCTTTGCCTGTGCTGATTTTCAAGTGAAGCGGTGGGGCTTTCACTGCATTCCGAGGAAGATTATTTCATCACTTAATAGGCTTCACATTAAGCAAGTGATCGTCTTTAGTCATGTTTATATCATTATTGTGGTAGTATATCATTATATTTTTCTTTGTTAGTTCTATTGGCATTTCTGTATTTGTGTGAAGGTGATTAATTTTACAGAAAGTAGAAAGTCTAGTAAGAACTGATGGATACAGTGTACATGAGCCTCAGGAAGTGAATTTAGGTTGCTAGCAAATCTAAATGCTACTAATAATAATTTCTACCTACTGTTGTTTCTAAATTACTTAGGATTTTCATAGGTCTTTCCCTGTATTATTAAATAAAATATCAGTTATGATTTTTGGGGTGTTTTGAACAGCTTATATTTAAGACTATTCATACCTGTCTTATTTTGAGGCATGGAATGCATACATGCAAGAGAAGGGAATAATAGCAAAATTAATAAAAGGTTTCTTATGAAGGGTAATATAATGCTGTTTAATTTTGATATACAGTGAAATTGAGCTATTATCATATTATATAATTATGTAATCATATTTAGAATTTGTGCCAACATCTGAAACAAATTAACAAATATAATTTTTCTTTGCTTATAACAAATTATAACAATTTATGTACATAGTTGGATAAATAGTCATATAAAAACATCTCAGCCGTAGTTAGTTTATGTATCTTTATAATATGCAATTATATTTGTTAATTTCTTTTGGATCACATTGGAACAAATTCATAATGTAATTACCTAAGTTTGTGATTAAACTAATTTATTTTTCCCAAGGCACAAATTGGCATTCTATGTACCACAAAGGATCTTCTGCAGAGTTAAACTATTTACTAAAAGAACAAAGTGGTAAATTTAGTTATTTTGATTTTACAACCCATTGTGTTTTGTGCAAGAATGATTATGGGATAATAAAATTTTCTGTTTGAGGATGACTGTCCAAAATAAAACAGAAGCATTTGTGTTAGTGATAAAACTATATTTAGAACAATACATAAAATATAAAAAGCTTCAAAATCTGGCAGATTGAACTACCACGGGAAAATGCTATTTGTTAAATAGACCATTCTTGTTCTTTAAAACATTCTAGTGTGTCTTGAGCATTAAATATTGAAATATTCTCAGTGATATACTTTAGAAATAATAAAGTTACTCCTGAAATAGTCTAGCAACCCAAAATCAAATTAATTTTCATATCCAAGATAATACCTTTGAAAATAGAGTAGTTCAAGAAATCATTGAATTTTTCTTAATACACATACTTTTTGTTAATTGAAAAAAGCAATGTTGTAATTAGGCAGTATCTCAAACCTATGATGTAGACATTTCCAATACTAACATCATCAATGTTTATTTGGTAAAATAGCAATTGCAAAAAATTCTATCTTAAAGTGTAGGTAGCCTTCATTGTTTAATACATTAGCAATCTTATTGTAAGACTTTGGTTTAACTAGCTGGAGATACACACATAATTTTCTCCTTGTCTATTTCTGTTTTTTTTTTTTTTTTAGGTAAAATTTATATGCGCTTAGGCACAGGTCTTAAATACACAGCGCGATAAAGTTTGAAGATGTATGTACCCGTGTAACCAGCACCTTAACCTCAGCACAGAGTATCATGACATCAGGACGCTCCCTCTTAGCTGTGCCGTCATGGACAACTGCCCTGCTGGGTTTTCTTATGATAGCCTCTTTTTGCCTGTCCTTTGACTTTATATAAGTAGAAGCATACAGTACGCACTCTCATAGGGACAGTTTCTTTTACTGTGTGTCTGTGAAATTATTCCTTGTTGCTATTTACTGTATAGTTCATTCTCTTTTGTTGTTGTACAATACGCTGTAGTATTGATATTCCACAATTTGACTATACTTCTACTACTGGATGGACTGGTGTGATTATACTTTTCAATGTTGCAACTATAAAACTTGCCAGCGTGTTTTTTTGAATTCTTGAAGTTTTGTATTTCCCAAGTGATCAAAGATGCCCAAGCATTTTATCATATACCTATTGGTCATTTGTACTTTTTTTTGAGAAATATCTATCATTTCAATTGCCAATTTCTTTGACTGAGTTTTTATTTTTGGAGATGTATGTGGGATTATTATTTTTTATTTTGCTTGTTTTGTTTTGTTTTTAGTTTTCTGTCTGAGGAGTAACTGGTAAAAATTTTTTCTCATTCCACGTGTTGTCTCTTCACTCTCATGGTTGTTTTCTTTGCCATGTAGAAGCTTTTTAATTTGATACAATCCCATTTGTTAATTTTAGGTTTATTATGATGTTGATGTTCTGTTCAGAAGGTCATTGCCTATGTCTCCAAGTGTTTTACCTAGTTTATCTTTCATCACATTTAATGTTTCTATTTATCCAGGTGTGTATTTTGATTTTGAGTACAGGGTAAGAGATACGCGTCTAGATTTGTTCTCCCTTGGAAGATAGCCAGCTTTCCCAGCTCCACTTGATAAACGGGCTGCTTTCTGTCAGCTGTGTTATATTCCTGTCAGTGCTATTTTGATGTGGTTTTGGTGTCACCCTGTTTGAATATTGAGTCTACTGTAAATTCACTTGTTGAGTTATAAATACACACTTGGTAAATCTAGTTTGTTTCATAGCAAAGGAATTTTTGCTTTATGTATACCATTCATATGTACTCATTTTAGTTGGGGAACCATACATGAAATAAGATGGTGAATTATTATCCAAGTAATTTTTTTGTTAATATCTTACTTGAATTCTAAAAGGTAAAATGTATTATCCTGGTAGAGTGGTGCAAAGAGAATTTAAGAAAACATGTTCAGATATGGTTGTGATAAATTTTGACAGCTGTGATAAGGAGAAAGTTAAAATAAAAATTTTATGATTGACAAGCAAAAATGACACTTTAAATTATGATGTTCTTTCTTTAGTTTTTGGATTTCTAAGACTTCATTTAGTCCTCAATTTTTTCCACTCATCTATCCTTATTGGCATAATTGGTTATATGGCCTATTAACCTTTACAAATGCAGAATTTCCTTGAAATGGTTTAAATTGCTTTAAATAGTTCACAAGGGTTTTTTGTTAACAAGGCAGGAACTCAGTATGGCTTCACAAAGCTGAGAATATTAGAAGGAAATAACAGATAGACACAAGATTTTGGAGATGAAAGGCCAATTAATGATTTAATAACTCAGTCAATGGTATGGAAAAGGGGTGTAAGTGTTTTTAGGGGAGCTTGCTACAGGGCCAAACTGATTCCTAAGTAGAGACAAGTGAGGTTCCAGTTACAGGAGTCAGGCTGTAGACCAGTGCTGAAACTGAAGAGTTGAGATTCATAAGGAATAGCCCACTGAATAGCATGCACTGCATTCTTTCTCCTTTCATTCTCAAAATAAGAATCAGAAAAAATTGTGGATTCCCAGCACCAAACCCAACTGAAGAACAGCTGAGGGACTGTCCGTAAATCACGGGAACTAAATGGGAGTCTGCATAATTGAAAATGGAATTTTGCTTCTTCCTTTCTTTGCTGAGTTGCAAGAATAGTAGCAGCTAGCCTTACAACTCTCAAGTCCAAGGAGGAGTTGATCAAGAGGAGGCCAGCAGATACTGGCTCGTTGGGGTGGTCTCTGGATTCAGGGTCCACAGGATCTCTGTATGACCAGATTTGCTATGGCTTCTGCATATGGAGCTTCCAATCTGCTTTTCTCAGTTCTGTGCTTTAAATGTACATGGATAACCATGTATTGACATGCAGTGCAGAAGCTGTCAGATAAGTACAGTGATCAAAGCAAATAAAAATATAAAATAGTTTTGAACAGAGACCGTAGGGGACAAAGTCATTCTTAATAAGTTATAATGAGTAGGTTCAAGTAAGGAAGTTTGTATCAGAAATAGGAGAGATGTTATTAAAACATCTGTCCAAAATAGTGCCCTTGAGAGTTAAATTTAAAAAATGTTACAATGGTGAAAGATTAGTGGAGGAAGTGATCCAGGAAGTAAAAGTAAAAGAAGAGACGAATAATGGCAGAGGAAAGATAAAGAAAATTTGAGGATCAATTCAGGAAAATCATTCTGTAGTAAGAGTTTTAGGAAGTAGAAAGAAAATAAGAAACTAATTTTATAAAAGACAAAAATCTCTTAAAATTGTGTGCATATGAAAAATTATTTTTTAAAGAAAACTGTAAACTTTGAATTATTAAAAATATCTCCCCTTATTTTGAAATCTGTTGCCTGATTAGCCACTTATCGGGGATCCACACAGTCTGTTTACTCACACGCGATGTACATGTGTGTTCTCACAGGCAGATGTAAGTGCCACAGAATACTGCATAGGGGGAAGCACTCCTCAAAAGAAATGATAATGTGAGATTCTGTCTTTTGACTACAGTGAGGAAAGCTGATTACATTCACCCAATACCTTTAAATCTGTGAAGCGCTGTGGTTGTCATCAAGTCCAGGGCACTGCATGCTGTCCTGTCACGGCTCTTTCTGTGGTACCGTGAAGTCCATGGCAGCGGGTGGATGAGGTGATCTGATGGTTATTTCTCCAATAGAAGGAATATTTGTTTTCTTTTTAATAAATTCAAAGAATAACCATCGGGCATACGACAGTTTAAAGTAGGGTTGGATCTCTTTGAGATTATGAAAGAACCATTGTGTATATTCTGGTACCAACATAAAAGGGTTTTATGCTGATAACATAAGATCTTTGTCAGCTTATGAAACTGTCTTTGTCTTGAGTATATTTATTAGTAAATCAATAAAATTCACCTAATATACACTAATTATTTCATGCCAAGATATTGCTAATATGAAATATAAAATTACCCGGGACTTTAAAGAACAAATTAGCGAGAGGAAGTAATTTGTAAATGGACAAAGACAATTTTTACCTTTTTATGATTAATAAATATTAAATTTTGTTCCTCACAAGACAATTCTATATCATACAGAAAAATAAAAACAATTTCATATTTATAGAAGTCAAAGAGGAATTTTGTTCAGTATTATTGAAAGAAACTCCTATATTTTAATCTTATGAAATAAAGATACAGTAATCATAGAGAACTAATCTTGTATCAACAACAGCAAGCAAAAACATGAAAACTGTCTTTTTTTTCTGATTGGTGTAGCTATTGTAATTTCTCTTAAATTCTCTGCAGCCCCTCTCCAGATTGCTCTCTTCTTCTTCAGTGAACATGGGTGCACGTCATTAACAGCCTGTTCTACTGTACCCTAAACAGACAGATTAAGACAATAAATATGCTGGAAGTGAAATTTCTATAACTTACACAGTTTAGTGAAATTTTTGTTAGTACAGATTTTTGAGATCAGTAAACAGGGTTATTTGGAAAATGTGAAAGTAATGGTCATTTATCAAAGTAATAGAATGTTTTAGAACTTTTCAAAAACAGTAAGTCTATGTTTTTATTACTTAAAATGTTTATTTTAATTCTGCTTGTATGTTCAAGTCATATTTGGATTTATTTTTAAGGCAAAAGCTTTCCTTTCTCTAGTGACAGCCTAGTGGACGGTCAGGTACTGACTGCAGTGAGGTGATTGGGGAACCTGAGGAAGCTTGAGGGGAGTGGGGCTGTGCATTAGCAGGAAGCTGTACAGTCACAGATGTCCTCACGTGTGCTGGTGCCCGTAGTGTGGGTGAACTGGGTGGGCACACTCAGAGATGATTTGGACTTAGGATATTTAGTGAACGTGCTGGTACAAGGGTGCACATTTAAATTAAAAATCGTGTTATGGTGAAAGACACATCGCCACGAATCCCCCCAGGAACACCCCTCCACACACATACACACACGCGGTTTCCCATCCCTTGGCGCTTTCTGCAGCAGCCCTGGAAGTCTCCTTTTCGGAGTGTCTTTAGGGAGGGTGATCAAATTATGGCACATGCTGTTGCCAGGTGCCTTCCAGCAGAAGGGCAGCTTGTAAAATCATGATGCTGGGTCCTCATGTGTCCACAAGGATGTTCAGAGTGAGGGGGAGGGCTCTTATATGCGGAATTAGTGGCAGTGTGTCTTTTACCGTAATAGATTTTTAGAATTTAGACATTCATTGTGTCTTTCTACCATGCCTCAGCATATAGTTGTGCATGACCAAGATATGTAACAAAGTTGTCTTCCTGTGAAGAGCCATCGTATGCTCTCAGGTTACATCTCTTTTTGAGTTATTAATATCTTTCTGTATGCAAATCATGGACATTATTCTGTAGTCATTGATAGGATTATTTTCAGAGGATGAAAAATGCTTCCAAAAGTTGAAGAGTATAAGACAAAAGAGGCCTTTATTCCAGGAACATCGGGAGAGAGGACTGGGCGCTGGCCGCTGGAATCTGGCGATCTCTCTCGCGGACACTTGGCGTGGGGGAATATAAGTAGCCTAACCTTAGGGCAGTGCCCTAAGGCCATTAGAGATGCACAAGTATTTCATTGGCACACGTTTGGCGCCAGGGGCAGGTTTGGAAGGGTGGGGGGTATAGGGTTACAGGTAAATCTCTAGGGGCGGGGGAGGCAGAAGCTCCCTAATTCCGGCTGAGGCTTTTCTGGCTACAGTGTCTGGTCTGGGCCAGCAACCCTTTCAGTCATGAAAGCGAGGGATGGGGTTTGGGGGAGACTAAAATGTTGCATAAAAATTAATAACTGAAATAGATGATGGCAGGCCAAAAACCTCCTGGGGCAATACGTTAAAATATTTTTGATAGGGAAAACCATATGTCTTAATGGTTTTAACTTAGATATTTTGATACCATTTCCAAGTTATTTTTCACCTACAGTTCTAGGTGAACTTACCTTGATGTGGTAAGAGTATATTTTTATATGACCATTTTAAAATGTGTCCTATTATTAGGTATCACCTATGTTCCACTATGATTATGTCGTAGTTTCTGTAATTTTATCATGATTATAAATATATGGAATTTTATATTAAAATTAGTACTCTGTGAAAGGTTAATATTTAGCACTAAAGATCCCAATTTCACCTTCTTAGTATTTCACTTTTTAATGTCATAAACTAAAAGAACTTAAAAACAATCAGCCTTGGCTTTTATCTTCCAAAGTTTTAATCTGTTTGAAATGAAAGAAAAATTAAACATATCAAATTCCTTTTATGAAAACCTTATAAGGTGCTAACTTTGAAAGTATGTGACATTTGAATCGTATCAAGCAAATTATTTTAAATTATTTGAGGAAACAAAAAGAATTCAAGCAGTCTGTGCATCAGTGTACAGTAATTAATTTTAAAATTGGTGATTGACTATTTGATCATATTCAGAAGCACTTTTATGCATCTGTTATTGAATGCAGTTCCGCGGTGCAGAGCGTGTCATTGGAAAGCAGTCTCGTTAGTTCTCCTGGCTTTGTTACTGTCCTCCTGCCACACTGTAGGTACTGGTGGTGTCAGCCTCATGGCTCCAGTGTTAGATGTCCTCTAGTCCAAGGGAGGTTGTGTGTGTGTGTGTGTGTGTGTGTGTGTGTGCAGGTGTCACCATAGTCCCAGTGGTGAGAACCCTTTGTCTTTGGAGTGATTTGTCCTTTGTAGTTTCATGTTTTGCTGATGCATGTGCGCAGTGCTTACACCCCTCGGGGGCGCTGGTGCATGCACACAGCACATCCTCTGTCCTTCTATGTCTCCTTCCCTGTTCCCTCGTCCCTCCCCTCTACCCTGGATCTCCCCATTTGAGGAAGATCTGGCCCCCTACTTCTTAGTGTCTGTCTTTTATGTTGCTCTTTACTTATATATGAGTTTCTTGTATAAGAGAAGCTCTGTGGTATTTAAGTGTGTGTCTGATTTACTTCTCTTAACACGATGGTCTCAAGGTGCAGGACACGCTCCTTCAGATTTCTGGCCGTAGCCTTTTGCAGTAGATACACACGTGCAGTGTTCCCAAGATTCTGAATGTTTTAATGACTTGGCTGCTTATAGACTCTTGTTACCTTGATGCCACAGAAATAGTGCAGACTGGAACCTGTTTTTTTGTGTTCTTGTTTAATTTTACCCACTTAAGAGGCCATTTTTTTTTTTTTTTTTTTTTTTTGCTTTTTCATTTTAATCGGTACCAGGGATCGAACTCACGACTGCCTGCTTTCAAGGCAGGCGCTTATGCCACTGAGCTAAATCCTCAGCCCCAAGAGGCCAATTTTAAACTTGATTACTTGAAAATAATTTGATTTGCTATGATACTCTAAAGTTGTCATTTTCAAATACTTGCTATGGCGCCTGTGAGAACCAGGTGACTGTTCTAAGGGCTTTGCAAGTGCAGGCTCATTTGGAAATAACAGGCATGGGAAGTAGAGGTACTTATCATCTCGGTTTTGCAGGAGCAAGCTGCTTCAGAAGAAAGCACAGAGCTAGTGAAGTGGCCACCGTGTTTCTAATAAGATAGTATCTGATTGATGAAATCTAGGGAATCCGTGAACAATTATTAATACATGCAATTTTCATTTTGGCCCAAAAGTTTTATACATGACTATTCTTTTGGAGCCTCAACAGAATTAATGCAAATAGGTGTTTAAGTTGCTTTTAGGTTTCTCATGAAATAATATTCTTTCATTCATGTGTCTGTTTCATTAAAATGTAATAGAAAAAATGTAAAAGATTTTGCCAAATATTTTCTGTCTTGACCTTGAATCTGTACTTGTGATTTCACTGGAATTTGGTAACAGTGATCTTTTGGTTTGCTGATACCAGCAGTTTTTTGGTACTGTTGTCTAAAATTGTGGTTTGGCATCTGCCTCTAAATTTTTCAGTCTTTTTGAATAGCTATTGATTTCAAGTGTTTATATCAAAATTAGTTTACTTATTTTCCATAATTAAATTGCTTAATTGCTAATATCCTCTCATTTTTCAATTTATCATTGTCATTTTTAAACTAAATTACAAATTTCACTAAGCTATTCTGTAGTGAATCAAGAAAAAATTAAAGAAATTGTCTTTTATTTCCTCTTGTTTTCAGATTCCCATTTTAATGACTGCCAGCTGATAAAAGCAGACCATTGGCTTTCCCAGTTTGCATTAACTCGTGGCCCCACTTCACATATTCTCACTGCTGCAGGAAGGAAGCTATGTTTGGAAGTCTTCTGACTAACTCTTGCCATCTGCATACTAACGAGTATTAGACTTCACCAGAGTCATTTGATGACTTTCTCCTTGTTTGTAACACACTTTGTTTTTTCTGAGTGAGTGCATCTCTGAAGCTATGGGTTTCTGAGAAGATCAATGAAAAACAGATGGCTGTTTGCAGTGAGCTTTCACCCTGTGCCTGTGTCCCCTGTGGTCCACAGCTGTGGCTGGTGGGAATGATTCCCACTGTGGCATTGGGGTTGCTCTGCTCTGGTGTCCGTCCCCTTTGGAGGAGCTTATTTTCCAGCATCTGGGTCTCTCTATCCTGTATTGGCTTATAAAAGGAGAGAAATTTCAGATATCTCAGAAATCATGAGACTTAGGAGGTGTCTGGTGACATACAAGTGCCCCCATTTAGACTTCCCAGTAGTTGTACAATTTGTTACTCATCAACATTGTCCGACTTCGTACTGAAACCTATTTTAAAAGACAGCTCCTATTGACCAAACACTACAACACAAAATAAAGTAGTGCAGTTTGGATAAATTCTGGGAAGACCAAATATAACAACTTAGATC